CCAATGTCGTCTGCAAGCATCGCATTTTTCCGTAAGGACGACGTTCAAAAGGGCTGGTTAGGAGGGATTTTCCGCAGAGTACTTGAATGAATTCTTCTGTTATTTCTTCGGGAATGGGAAATATAAAGACAGCAATTTCTAGGGAGGATTGCTAAATTGACTAAATTTATTTAACTGACTTCTATTTATTTTTAATTTTACCGGTTTTCTACTTTTATTTTATGAGTTATATAATCTTGATAATTATTTGATTGTATGATTAACGAAAAATGTCTCGATGAAATCATATAACAAGTTTCATCGAAAATTCGATGAGAAACATGTTTTGTCGAAAAGTGCAATTGAATAATATTTATCTTAAGTTTTAATTTTTAACGTGTTACGTAGTCCGGCAAACAGAGAGGATTTTCGCGTGAATTTTTCCATTAAAGATCCATCATGAAAATCTACACGACGAACGACGCATATGTATATTTTTCGTACTCGTTCAAAAATATTTTTGCTTTTCTTTCCGAATGACATAAATAGTTTTTTGTATTGCTTCTCGTTACATAAATATTACTTGCATTTATACGAGGCAGTTTATTAGAAACAGTTACATCTGCACGAGCGTTACTACAAAGTTCGACGCAGTTTCACATCGAAATGCTTGCCGTGCGATATTTTGCCGTTTCCCAGAGACGTCGAAACATACGAGTTTTTCCTCAGCGTTACAATATTTTTCACTCGTCAATACGGCACGTATCGTTCCGCACGTGAAGCACTCCAGCACTTCCACGATCTTGATTTAATTTTTCCGCGCAATTTTCAATCCTGTTCGGAAATTACTTAATAACAAAGACGGGTTAATAAGAGCCAAAAACCTAAGAGATTTAAACTTGGGACGTGTGTTAAATTTAACACAAAAACCGTTTACCGTACGCGATCTAAAATTACTCGTTACTAATAAAACATAGGCACGTTACGTTGCGGAAATTGTCTCGGGATCAGCATACGTTCGCAATAAGACGCTGTGGTATCTACGAAGTGCTAATAAATACCAGTCGCTATTTGATCGCTTGCTGCTGCGAATGACGCGTTGACATTTGTGCTGCCGGCTTATCAAATATTTATCCTTTGAGCCGCACACACCACACACACCCACAGTGTACTCAATCGCACGAGCATCAGCTCCACGGTTGCAGAGTAAAGAGCCGAGTTCCCTTATTGGTAACCGAGATAGAATCTCGCGGAGACAATTAGCCACTCACAGTGCGTGCCGTATTCCCGACTCATTAACATCTGGATAGACACGAATCTTAACGATCTTCCCCCACCCCTTAAGCACTTGTGTACGCGCTGCTTTCGCATTTCGACGTCAAGCTGCTACCGGCGATCAAGTTTGATCGTTCGAGTGCCTCTTCAATCTTATATTGCTACGTGCGTAAGAGGAATTAGGTGTGTATCGGCTTAATGCCGAGCCAAGTTAATACCGGCTAATACCGGCGTATGCGATGCACTTATATCTTGGCGTGCGTTTAACGGCAGAATAGCGGTTTCTTCTTCAGCCGGCCGATACCTCTCGCGAGACGTTTACTTCTTACTTGCTCGTCTTCCTCGCGAAACGTGTTCGCGCTTTGTACCCGTGTGCGCGCGTGTATGTGTGTGCGTGCGCGACAATAGCGGCGATACTTCTATACGAGTGTGCAACGATAACTGGATGTCCCGATTTCTCTGTTGTTCCATCCGTAGATTCGGTCTCGTCGGATTCTCGTCTCGTAACGACTACGAGCGCATCTTGCGTGCGCCTTTAAAAGGTAGTTGGTCCGTGACAATACTGTTAGAAGAGTTAATGGTTAATACAACAGGAAGAATTTCGAAAAATCTGTGCTAAATATCTATAAAAATGATTTTATACAACTCGGACGTTATAGCAAGTGAATGCCAATCGAACTTATATAATGTTTAAAAATTCATAAAAGAATAATCATTTTCCGCAACTATATAATATTTTTTACCAGGACTACCCGTGTTATGCATGCTTGTGAATATATCATACGTACTAATAGACGCACACAAATGCGCGCTATTCGAAAAATTATCGCGAAATTATCGGATTTTTCTGTACGCAGAAGAAACGATGCCGTTGGATCAACAGAATTTCCAACAGCACGCGTAATAAAACTTTGAAAAGATCCCTGAAGAAAATCAATTTACGGGCCAACTACCTTAATGAAGTATCCGTCGTTGCTAATACGGTTGTCAAATGCGGACGGGACGATTAACGGAAGGACACTCGCTCGTTCGCTTGCATTACACGTGGATTCTGTCCATCTCCAACGGTGGTTCACCTGCCGGACCTTCGACGCACTTTGCTCCAATTAATTCCCCGGCAATTGGCGCAATTTGCGTAATTTGAATTCAACTCAATCACTATTCAATGAATAACTTAATCTCTCAAATTGTAGAAAGAGTGAGTATTTCATCAGGATCGGAGGAGTGAATAATTATTTCCGGCATACAACGCTCGCATCGTTCCCCCGGCGCGTCTAGTGAGGGCCAACAATATATCGCGGAATACTTTATCCGCATTTTCCCTCACGCCGTCGCGATGCACATTAGGGACACGTCGATTTCACAGATATCGAAATGAAAAACGACCCGCCGCGCGAAACGCTTATTTCGTTTTCTATCGAGAATCCTCGTTCGCCGAGGGTTTCCGGCGCGGCGAAGCGATGAAGAGAGGAAGAGGAGGGAGTATACTTTTGGCGAGCTTCCAACTCGGCCATGTAACCGATCCCGATCGGGCGGAGCCACATGCAAATCCCAGGTCGAGTCGTTTCCTTGCTCGCGTTTCGTAGGAACCCCCGCATTCATTACTCGCGTGTCACTGAAGCCACGAAAATGTCGTTCGCCCGGAGCGACCCGCAGAGGCCAGAAGTCGTCCCATGCGCTCTTACGGCACGCCGCAATTGCAGTTGCAATTGCAGCTGCGCCGTGCCCTCCTTCTCGGGACACCCACAGAATCGCACCCGTGTCCTCTTGCTCAGACGCGCGTGTTACATCGATAAAAACGCGAAATAAGTAATATCTCACGGCGTCACACACGAGCGTTTTTCACCGCGAGTTCTCGCCGAACACGCGAACCTCTCGTGACGGGTTTATCGAAGAAGTTATGACCGATTTTTCCTTGAGAAATTCTGCGACAGGTCGTCGTCTGTCGCAATTCCCTCTTTGTATTTAACGTTTCTTTTGTCATGTTTCTCCTGAACAACAAAACATTTTATGTGAAATTTGGCACATTTCACGCGTACCAAACGGTTCACATAAGTTTTAACCAAACACAAATATCATGTTAAAAATTGATGCTAAATTAATATATTAATCGACATTGAAGTATAAAATGTGTTATTTTAACACTTATACATGTTGAATATCGACTCAACAGGAGATATTGAAATAACATAAATACAATATGTTAAATTGACGCACACGGTTATGTTGAAAATTTAATATAAATACTTCATTAAAAACCGATTTTAATACAAATACAAAATGTTTTTTACTGTATATGTTTAACGTTTGATTCTTCGGTCGAAATTTTTGCGTTCTTTTTAAAGACATTCTCTCGTATTGTGATCCACAAATGAGAAAAGTTCTTGTTTGGTATGGGATATTAAATTGTCTAAGTGTGTTCTGCAACTAAGTGTGTTGTGTAGCGCGTAATGCAATTGCAGTCACGATATTGCTATACGATATATTCAGTGCATCGCTTTTCCGCATAGGTTGTATTATCTTTGCGCATGCAAAGGAATAGACATATAAATTTAATGATTCAACGTATACCAAAGACGCGATAATTTCGTGTATTTTGCGATGCACTTGAACATACAGTCGCGGTTATCATTGAGTTTATATTCGCATTTCGTTGTTTTTCATTTACAAAAAAACACGTTTCTACACGCGAATTATGTTACTTATCGCTGCTGATTCAAGACAAAAATATCTTGTTTAAGAAAAAAGAGAGAGAAAAATAGTTTTTTAAACCTTGCGAAATACCTCGATCGCGAGACGCGACTGGTTTTCGCGGCGCATCTTCGTCGCAGCCATCTATTTCTAACGCGGAGAGATTCGATTTCGATAAAAAGTGCTCCACATAGAATAGAGAAGGCTAAGTCCGGTAGCTCGGTACATATTTGGACGCATACGCACAGTCGATATCGGAGTAATGCGGTCTTTTTATAATCCCATCGCGATAAACTATAACGTATCCTGCGGCGTGAGCAAGCACTTCCGCCGCGAGGGTTTTGAAAAATTATTATCGGAGATGTACGACGAGCTTTTCCCGTCTTTTTCCCTCCACGTCCAAGTTTCGTGACGCGCGGATCGATAAATTACCGCGCTTTCTAGCCCCGACCGATCGGCGAGCGTTCTTTAATTCCACATATGGAACACATCGGAGATTTATCCTCGATCGCCGCACGTGCGGCCTTTCCTTCGTCCGTTCGTCCATCGGCGCGCGCAGCACCAAACTTTCCTAATGAGAATAGTCTCAAGGAGAGGAAACAATTACCGTTCATGAAGATTCCGTCACACGGGCTGCATTCTAATGCAAAGCATCAAGAATTTACAAACAAATTCCGCGCGAGACACGGGGCTCCTCGTCTCTTGAATACTTCATAGGGCTTAAAGTGTATCGCGATGCGGTCTCCTGTAAATTGCCGGAGCGCAGGACGCGAGCGGGACGTGGCGGGTAGAGGCTCTCGAAGAAAAAGGGCGGATTAGAAAGGACGACGAGAAAGCTTCGAAGGAAAAAAGTCGCGCGGTTGACACGAGGGGCCTTCCGCCAGAGGAAGAGAGAGAGAGAGAGAGAGAGAGAGAGAGATGGAGAGGGGAAAGAAGGGTGCTGGAAGTAGGCTGCCGGCGCGGCGTGGGGCGCGGACGCGCGAGAGGGTGGCGTGGAAGGGTCGCGCGGCGCGACCGCGCGCGCACGAGGGCGGACGTCAGTCCACGTTCGAGCGGCTGCCGGTATGGGCGCTTGGACGGATCGGTCGATGTCGCGTCTCGCCACCCTTCGTCTCGATCTCGTCTCGCGTTAGAGACTCTCGAAAGACGACAGTGACGCATCGTCCTCTCGCGTGTGTGTCAAGGTGATCTCGCAGAAGAGAGGGGAGAGAAAGGGATGTTGCACGCGCGGCAAAACGACGAGAGCGGAGAGTGTGCGTCGGTGTCACTGGTGCGGTGAACGCGTCGAGTGCCGTCGAGACTCGAAAGGGCTCCCCGAACGATCAATATTTGTTGTCAATTCGAATATCGACGATCCCTCCCGTCGGATCTGGCTGGCTGCCGATCTCGCGCGGGCCGACTTCTATTGTCGAGTTTACGCGCGACTTGCGAAGCCCAGGCTGCAGATCGACCGGTCGATTCGTATAAAGTTCCCTGTATCGGTGCAACGATAGATTTTTGCGGTAGCAGAGATGCGTCACTGATATATTCCCTGATGATAAGCACTCCGCTTCCCGAGGCGTCTCGTCGATATCTCCGGCTACGTTGACAGTCTTTCCGTAGCCGTCATCGGAGTTGTTCTTCCGTTTCGTCGAGGTATCGCGGCACGGCTGATAAATATTGATCGCTCGAGGCTTTTATCGAAGGATCAGGCTCGTGACGACCGGTGATCCCCGCCGATGTGTACATTCGTCTGTCATTGCGTGAGCTCGGGGTAAGGAACCGCTCCGGAAACAAGCGCACCGTCGTGATTGATTCGCGCTGCGGAAGAATCGAAGGAGTTCCAGCGAATCGACGAAGCGAACGCACGAGCTCGTTCGATTTAATACGAGGCCTGTATATCATATTTGGAACAAGTGGGTGTTCTATGCGGAATCACCCAGTTGAACTTGCACCTTGACACGAGCGCTTGTTTTTCTCGCGATCGCGACGATTTCCTCGCCGTGATTCAGCCGACAACCTTGGCTCGGATTAACCGACCCCGTGCACGATGACATGTGCGTTCAAGCCATGATCGTTACGTGAGATTGCGAAATACCGCAACCCCTACCCTTCCCGTAATCCCGTTCCTCGCGCGACGGGCAGATTTTATTTATTCTTATAAGAACGTGCTCTCTCCCTTTCTCCGGCCGGGATATTCTCTCCGATTGATTTCGTTCGACGAGTCGCTCGTTCTAGTCGGAATTTACGTGCGCGCGATGAGGAAGCGAAAAGACTCGACTGTCTCTCTCGTCGGGCGAGCCCAGTTGTATTGGAAGTCGAGTGCGCGGTACGACAACAGAAGTTATTTGAACAGCTACAACCGCGCGCATGCTTTCGCGATATATACAGCGCGTACGCCGAGTGATTTGTATGGATACGGCATAACGAAATCACAAATATTGTTACGCGCGCCGATAACGAATGTATCGCGACGCTTTAATCGCGCTCGTCCCGCGCTATTATTCGTTATCGATCGTACGAGCTGACGCGTGTCTCCACGCGGAAATTCACCATGGTCTTTTTCTCGCGCCGGCCTTGTGAAATCAAGCGGAGCGGGACCGATAGTGAGACACTTAGTTGGTTAATTTGTACTCTCACGATAATCAGCTTCTCGACGGTGACCGCGAGAGAGAGAAACTCGCGCGGAGCTTGTGCACGCCGCCGGCTGGTATCGGAGTATCGATCTCCGATCTGTATTATCACCGCGATATATTTGCGGATTTTTGCGCGCGCGACACTGAGAAAAATTGGAGAGAGCGACCGATACGATTTAAACTCCACCTCGGGATCGCTGTTCTATTGATCTACACGGTGGAACGGGCATGTTTCGCCGGAATATGCGCCGGCGATCGCAGTTCACGAAACCCTTTTGAAATTACTCTTCCGGCCCCGCGAGTAAATCCAATCGGACGTTAATCGGCGTTATTTCGCCCCGGGCAAAATCGGAGTTAATCACCCTCTCGGCCTCCTCCGCCTCCTCGGCTCGTCGTTGTTTTTGCACCGCTGCTCGCCCTACTCGAGGCGGCACGCTCGTCCCGATATATAAAGCACACTCGTCGCGTCGGCCCGAAAGCGCCCGTCCCGTGTGCCATTTTAATTGCGCTTTAATCGGCGCTCGCCGTTGGCCACGTTTCGTGTTACCCGCGCGTAATTACTGGCGTGGGCTTAACAGCGCGAGTGCATCTAAGGCGCTTACCTAATTACATCGCTCGTGTGTATGTAAAACTGCGACGCAACGCGGTCGTCGTCGCACGGAGAAAGCTCTCCGGTTCGAGGCTTCGAATTTACAAGTGCCTCGGATCGGACGTTCGTCATGCGAATTTAACGTTTTATCGGGTTTATCGGCAGATAGTTGTGTCAGAGGCGAAACGAGTTTGATAAGAATAATTCGATCAATCCTACACTGCGTATACTAGGACTAGTATTTTCTTCTGAAGATTTTGACGTTCGAATTTCGAGAATATCGAAGTTTCGGAATATCAGAATTGTAAGATTTTTTAACTATATAACGTCCGGCACATCCATTCATTCATAAAAAATTCATTCACAACATTTCTTAGTATTCTCTGAGTAAAATATCTGTTGACATTGGTCTACAGTGTTTTCGAAATTGTATTCTTCAAAGCTTCGAAACTTCGAAGATTACGTCCTTTGAAAACGAACCTTCTAAGCTTCGTCTTACCAAAATTCAAAAGTTTGAATTTCCTTCGAAACTTCAAGATTATCAAAGATTAACAGTTTTAGCGTATATGTCGAAATATTATTTAACTTCTCGTGCAATTAGAAGATTGACCCGTTCGAAAGCTGAGATATTTGAACTAAAGTTGGTACTTTTTATATTTTTAATTTATGAGTGGCTCCCTTGTTGTGTGCTACTGAAAATACTGAGTACTATAATATCCTCAAAACGACACGGGGCGGAATTATAACATGTCCCATTATCTTTATATTTTATTTAATATTCTTCGTTATATATGCAGATTATATTATTTAGAAAGCGTCAATTTGAGAGGAAAATGTTAAGAAGCGAAGAACGTAGATTTTGTTTCCATAATTTTCTCAAGCGGTACGACGGTAAAGAAGCGTCATGCATCATGACGGAAACAATTTCAGATTAATGCGATATTAAATAACATGCTTGTGAACTACAGCGCAACACGTGTTATTTGAAGTTAATTACCGACGCGTGAACTAGATTGTTTACTTCTAAGTAAATAAAGCAGGGTTGTGCGCGCGTGCTGAAGTTTATCGATAAAGGGAATCGAAAAGGAAGGAGGTAGAGGAGAACACACTAAATAGGGAGAACAGCCCTACGGTGCATGTTGTACACCGACGCTCTTTATCTAAAACGAGATTAAGAGCAGACAGCTGCGCGAAGTAAGTGGAATCTAACTTACCTCCATTCTCTTCCTAATTTGTCCTATCCATACCGTGCGATCTATAACCCGATTTGTTTGCTGAACTAAAATTAGATCGCGACAGTTACCGAGCTGCGTTTTTACATCTTTTATTTCGCGCAAAACTCACATCCCCTTCCTCCGAAGCGACCCAATTAATGAAGATACGACTGTATTTACGTTTCCCCTCGTCCGACCATATGTAGCCTTATTCCCCTATGCTTTTCTAAAGATAAAGCGGATTTTAATCTCGAACGCGTTCAACATCGGATAATGTTATTTCTCGTATGAAATGGCGCCTCTCGTTTTCATTTCTTTATCTTTCTCGTTTGCTGCTTTGCTTCCGTTCCGAGGGAATAAATGTTTCCTTCGGTTATTTTCTGCACAATAATTCGCGCGAGATCGTTCTCCCGAAATTATATCCGGTGTGTGCGAGAGACAGAAAAACGGCGAGGTATTCTTTTAAGGGTCTTCTCCGACGTCACCGGGAAAATGAAACCGCGGGAAATTTATCGCGACATCTTTTTTTCAAAAGCCTCTTACAGTCAAGGGAAGCGCCGTCGGCGCGTACATATTCGTGAATATGGGAAGCTTCTTGCAATATTGCGCGATTCCCTTGGTGTGCGAGAACCATTATCGATCAAGTAATTCTCTATTAAACCGAGGCAGGCAAGAACGAGGTTCCAGGTGAAAAACGACTCGTTTGAGCTCTCGCATTCGGGCTTAATGAGCAGTGAGAGACTAAACGCGTCTAAAAGAGAATGATAAATCCGCCGGGGGTTAAAAAATGATCTCCGCGCGTCACCACAGCCGATACACAGACGACGATGAAAAAGAAGCTATCGACGCACGCGCTCTCTCAAACTTTCCTCTCATTCCCATATTATGGAGCCGAGTTCCTCTTTCCGTCGAACTTCCCGGCGACGGAGGCGGTCGTCGGATAAACTTTCGCCTTTTCCTCGCACTTTTACGAACACCGAGCGGAATTTGTCGAATTTGTTATACGCTCTTGTACGCGAAGGACACAGGAGAAGGGGAGGGGGCGGGCAATGATGCTCGAAAAACTGCATTCTCCTCGAGATCGTTTTTCCGAGTTCCGACAAATAGATAGGAATCCGCCGAATCATGACTTTCTTGCGGTAATAAGGCGAATAAAAGCTCTTTGCTGCAACTCGCTGCCATTCGCAGGGAGCGGGTTCATGTAGATTTCTCTTCGAGATTTAGCTTTATAGAGGCAACACGCGAAAAGTGACTTCATCTACGGAAAAAGCCCGCCCAGGATGAAAACTTCGTCGATTTGTGGTTCCGCTTGGCTTCTTCGCACTTTAAGATGTTTAGAGAGAGACGAACTTCCGCTACGATCATCCGCGGAGTGCAGTTTGAAGAGGTTGCCCGGTAATGTTAAAAAAATCGCCAACGAAAGTAAGAATGAAAAGGCTGAGAAAATTTGTTTCTTTGTCGATATCGATTCGGCAGAACTTCCGAGTTATAATATATTCAGCGTATTATGGTATCTTATTTATGTCGAAACGGAGCTGCGAACGTACGAAGCGGTCGGTCTCGTTCGCGTTCCAGCGAATGTCCGTGACGATCTCGGATGATTCTCGGATGATCAGTCGTACTTGTTGGTGAAGTACGTGTCCACGACGAACACCAGGGCCGCCAAGATCGCGAAAGAACCGGCCGCCACCGTCTGGTTGCTGTATTCGTCCAGATACGCGTGAATCATATTAGTCGAGAAATTGTCCCAGTCGTGAATCAGAATGAGGCCGGCGGTGCAGCATAAAATCGCCCCCATCGTCGTGAACATAAGAGACTGCGAAAACGAAAGACATTGCATCGCGTTCGCTCGTCGATTCGTTACGCTTCGACTGCAGCTGTCCGCACGCTCGGAAAAAAGCTCATCAGATCGGATATGTTCGTTTACAATGAGAAAAAAAAAGAAGGATGAATTTGAGTTTCCGACAGAATCGCTTTTCTCTCGCGCGAAACGCGAGAAAGAAAGTAGCGAGACAAATCGCGCGACAAAACTCTTTCTCTTCCCCCCCCCCTCTCTTCTCTCTTTCTGATTTCTTCGCTCTGCTCGAAGTTCGAGGCGACTGCGTTTTTAGACGTGACGTATCCTGAACCAAATCAAGTTTGAATAATTCAAACATATAGGGAGTGGACGATTCTCCAGAGACGGAAATTGAAGCAGCGACGACCGGAGTTTGCTTGATGGATTTCGGCATTCGGCTATGTCGAATAGTATTAAAGAGCCATCTCTTTGGTGTTGAGTTATGGCCCGTATACGTGCTATTTTTCTGTTTGCTCCACGGCTCGCGTTTAAACTGAGAGAAATGCTTCCAATAACGACAAGATATTCCTCTTTAAATTATTCCTCATTAGCGGATCGTTTTCATCCGCGAACAGCGGCAGTTGCGGTCATAACCACGCTTTATAACTACTACTTTATAACTCACCGTCTTCTTCGGCAATCGTTCGCCCATTAAATGGCTCATAATAAGAATCGCGTTTATGAGAATGTAACCGCACACTGCGACGTGAAATATCGCTATATGATGTATATCAGCCGGCCGCGTCTGATTCTGTTGGAACGGTCCTGCTACCAATCCCGTCGCAACGACGCACATTACCTGCAACGTTCAATTCCTATCTCTCATTCTGTTAACTTCGCAATTCGACGCATCGTGCGTAGTCAGGAAACGCGACATTATGTTTTGCACAATAACAATATAAGCAGTATCAAATCGTGCCAAATACGTATTTTGCAATACATGAATGCAAGAATCGCTCCGGAATTACGATTGAAATTATGCGATGTATGTTGTTATAACCGTCCTGTGACCAATAATTATGTGACGAATATAATCCAGCATTATAAATTTTTATAATAATTTTCACTACAATATTTTCTCCGTGTACAAAATAATCAAACTTTCAATATAGAATGTATGTATATATATATATATATATATATATTGAATTTGTACACAAATATTTTACGTTTAACGATTAAACATTTATATTTAAAGATCAAAACAAGAATGTCCATAGTTAGATATATATTTGGTTGATACAACCAAACTTTTTTTTTTTCGTGCGGCAATCAACGTTATTATTACCTCAAATCAAGCACGATACACGCGACAAGGAGCGAGCAGGGTATGTATTTATGTTTGTGGTCACACGAGAAGCAGTGTGTGTTATTATTGAAGTAAAAAATGTTTAAATCCATCTCGAACATCCGTTTGACGAGAAGGAGCATACTTTTGCCGGCCGAGGTGGAAGTACCAATAATTAAGAGCGTAATAACGAGCGGTCTTACCAGTTCGATAATTTTGCAGAAAAACGGCGCCTCCTTGAGATGCTTCTGCAATCTCGAAGAGAGGCTGGGCGCGGCGTTGGTTTCTTCAGCCATTTTCGAATCACAGTTTGTTGCACTTTTCTCTGTCCTGTCGAGTGGACGCGCGTTCTCTTCAGTTACGGCGAAAAAGAAAATGTTCGTCGACACATTCGAGGTGTGACGATTGCAACGCTCAACATGCGCGCACGCGTCTTCAACTACGCCCAGCAGCAGCGCTCCGCTCAAATATCGACTTGTCAGTGGCAGTATGACACCGACTGACATTAAACTGACTCTGAGTCCCCACTTCCTCGCTACCTAAATACATTTAATGCGCTATTGCAACAGCTCTTGGTACTCAACCTTGGCGGAGGGTTCGAGACGATCTGTGCTCTACATCTCTTTGAAGATGGTTCTTACCATTGCAAATACCGGTCCTCATGAATACGTTGAAAACGGCATCCTGACGCCCAATCGATGCTGCTTAATGATATTTTATTTTCAACGTCGTTAACGCACACAGTCGAAGTCGTGAACAATTTGTCGATGCGATACACTCCCTTCGGCGAATCGTCGTTCGCGTCGATACGTTGCTTCTCGAACGCGATCGTAATTGACTCAGGAGTTGAGCATGAAAATGCATTCTCGCGAGACTTCTGTACAGCGCGACATTAACAAGGGGACAGTAAAGGAAGTAGTATAATTCGACTAAGAATTACGATCCTCCGGTGGAAGGTTGTACCGCTGGAAATTCAGCAGACGAGCAAACTTTGCCGCGACGACGATCCAGCGAGTTTCATGACGACGCAAAAGATAAAGGATAACGATTGCCCAAAGTGGTGAACAGAGAAATGCAGCGAATAACTTTGCATCTCGTCACATCGCGCCCGGGTTCATTGTTGCAGTGTCGGCTCTGTTTTCTCTCTCTCTCTCTCTCTCTCTCTCTCTCTCTCTCTGTCGGCTCTTATGAAATTGGAAAATTTGAGTCGTTGATCGAATCGACGCGTGTCGCCAATCGTAACTCGATGATGTTAAAAGCATTTCATTGTTTAGTCGTTTAACTGCTCTCACGTAGGAATCCGGGAGCTTAAGCTTGTCCCCGTTTTACGTTTTTGCCACGTATACTTGCGAACAACTCGTTACACTCGGAAACAGCGGGATTTTCTTTTTACCGTAACGCGAGAGCTTTTACGCACACGACTGTGGGCTTCCGCGAGGCAACTTTCGAGGGACTTCCGCGTAGGCTTACGATGTGTTACGCGCCGGTGAAAAATTCACGTTTGTCCCGCGATATAAATGCAAACGTTATTTTCACGGTTTACATGCAGCAGGCACGAAAATATGTCGCATCTCGGATGGGAACCTCGCGCAAAAACAGCACGTACCTACACTATCCACCTACGTTCATCTCATTGCCACACGTACATACACACGCTCGACTGCTCGTTTAATTTATCATAGCTCCTTCCGAGTTCTCTCCCGCCGCCACCGCCGCCGTCATCGTCGAGACTCACCCCCTTGTTCCCTCCGCGCCACTTTTCTTCTTCTTCCCACAGTTAACGAATTCCCTGCTCGCTTCCACCACTCGTCGCTCCCGGCTCTCTCCCCGGTTTGATCTTCGGCGTGTCTTGCGAGGTTCATTAGGTTAACACCGTCGGTGATATCATGTTATCTGATCTGCTGTGTTGAGTCAGTTTTTCGCGAGACTGTGTAAACGTGCGGTTTGTACATAAAGAAAAATGTCTCTTTGAATTTAGTACATGTGTTCGTTTGACTTGGGTTTGTTTAATAAACAATATAATTTCCTTTTTTTCTTTTCTTTTTCGAAAAAGCCGACACGTGCCACTAATTACGTCACACGTGCTGTAATACGTATGCCCGTTGCGATTTTATTGGCGTTAATTACGAGAGAGCCGTCAATGTCCCGATAATATTGTAAAGTCGAAAATAAAGCCGAGATGTCAGCGTTGCTCGCGTATGTTGTTTTGGTATGATAATTAGCGCGACTCAAGCGAAATATCAAAACATGAACAACTCCGATCAAACGCAGGAATATATTCAGAGCTGCTGGTGCGGCTCGGACTATAAACGCCCTCGACATGTGTCGCCTCCGTGTGTATGATCCAATAAGATCGATATCCCGGGAAAATTGTAAAACCGCGGATTACAAACTAATCGGTCGATTCATCGGAGAGATTCTCATAGCCGGGCTAGCTAGATGTATAAATCGCGGCGAAATCGTGAAACTTCTCTTTTCCGCCGACGGAAAATGATTCGATTACACCCCACGATCGCTCCACACCTCGTCTTTTTACACCGCTCGCTGCGATTTCTGCTTCTTCTGATATAAGTCTCACGCTGTTCGCGACACGTTCCGCAAGATTGAACGTGGGAGTTATATTCCATCGTAAGAAAGTATCCAATAACTGTCGCACCGTGTATTTCCGTGTATTTCCCCGGTTGAATATACGCGACTGGGCAACAAACGTGAAATAGAGTGGAGCACAACGATCTTTTTTTCCGCTGTTTTGTATCTTTTATTCAGATGCACAATCATGCAGATGTTTTTGTAGCACATTTTTAATACGTGACATTTTTATGAAAGGTGCGACATAAAATGTAAAATTACCTTTTTTTTGGAAAAAGGGTAAAAAAGACGGCAAGTTCACGCTCCTCTTCACATATGAATAGAACTGTACAAAAGAAAATATTGCTAGAAAAGAATTTCTATGAAAGACATGATATCAGATATGCTAAGTGAGAAAAATTTCATATCAAGTTTGTATTATAACTGTTTTGCTTATATTGACACTACTTTTGGTCTCTATTGATTTTATTTATTCATAACTATAAAAAGTTGGAGAAAAGCATATTACATTTTAAAAGTATTTAAAATGAAATAAAATAAATAATAAAAGAATATTATAAAAACACAATCTTAGTCTCCAAATCAATGTATTGATTTAATTATTTACATTATGACATTATTTAATTTTGACGTAAAATTCGTATTTCTTGGCATCGAAAATTTTAAATTAGTGACTTTTTAAATTTAATAATGAATTTTTAGCGAAAAAACGAGGCGAGTTTTTTTTAATGCACGAGTGCGCAATAGTGCGTGCATGCTACTTATGGGTCGGACACAGGTGCACAGTATTGCGCGCGTGCCACTCAAGTAATTAATTAATTAATTAAAAAGGTGTGTTTTGCAAGATTATTTTCCACCTCCACTTACCGCCAGGGGAGTGATGGATGTTGGCCAAGTGAAATTATTTTCTGAAAGGCAAAAGTCTAAATTATATTTTAGTAACAAGATTTAGACTAGAATCTACCTTTATTATAGATAAAAAATTTTTGAACATAGGTAAATTATATGCTGTTCTTATATAGGAACAGAGGAACGAATGGTTTAAAGTAAATAACAATTTTACTAATGGATACGAATAACACACACAATAACGAAATATTTTTAAAACGTAATATATTTTTTCCGCCTTTTTATAATTATAAATAAATAAAGTCAATAGATATTACACGTGAAAAAAATTTACTGATAAAAAGAAAATTTTTGTCCATTTTAGTCGTTTGCATGCAGCTGCGAATGCATTTTTTAAATAAGCAATTAATTTACTTGTTTGTCGAAAATAATTCTTTAAATTAAATTATTTACTAAATGTAAAAAAATATTTTCTACAAAACAATGAGTATTTATTGAACTTTAAAAAATATTTACTGCTATGTAACAAATTTTTCATTCTTTTTATCACGTCTGTTTATTGCATTGCTTTTAGATGTTGTCAACAATTTTTTTCTCAGTTTAGTGTCAATATAAGCAAAATAGCTATAACACCAACTTGATACGAAATTATTTTTACTTGGCGTAAGTATCTAATATCATACCTTTTTTATTATTTTTTTATAACGCATAAACTTGGCGTCTTTTTATATCTTTCTTTGAAAAAGGTAATTTCATTTTTTTTTTAATACGCAAGATCCTTGAACTGTTTAGCAGATAATTCGATTGTATCGACGCTGCCGGGCGGCATGTTTATAAAAATCGAGCTCGTCGTCGCATGTGATACAGCGTGAGCGCCCCTCGCGCGCTATCTTTCCTTCGCAAACTGCTTTAATTAAACGCCACCGAGCTTTGTTACATCCGCCGATCGCGTATATCCGTGTTCGGGGCTTAATAATGCCGGTGGCGGTGGTAACGCGTCCGCAATTTGACACCTTCCGATCGTTTAACGTTCGTTGCCGGGCGTCTACGTCGAGAAGCCGATCTGAAAAGCGGGTGAAAGCTCTCCGCCCGCTAATTAGAGCTTTCACTCCGTTTACGGCCGGGGCCGCCAACCTATATATTTCCGTGCGGTGCAATCGGCTCCCGATCGGCGTCCGCAATTTTCTCTGTCAAATCTCGTTCCCCGAGAGCGGATCGGCGAGTCACACGTGTGACGCGCGGGGAGTTTTACGGAAATGCGATCTCGTGGCTTCCAACAGCTCGCGATAAGAATCGCCGATTCTATCGGGAACGCTCGGCGAAAACATATTCTCGCGCGAAGCGAACCACATCGCGAACCATTGCGCTCGCGATATCCGCGCGATTGCCTGCATATTTCGCGCCGATATCCGTGAGATAGCGAGAGATCCTCGGCGCGGCGTGTTCCCGAAGAAGAGATTCCGCGGCTGTCTAGACTATTGCGTGACATCGGTTTATATAAATTCGCGTAAAAAACGCTCTCAAATAGTTCGCGTATTTTGTTTATGTATCGTCGATAGCAGAGAAACGGATACGCGCGCGGCGCGCTTGTCAGTTTAGTCGGCGTTCTAGATAGAGGCGGGAAGAGCGATTTTTCCTGATGCGAATAACGCTCGCGTGGCGTGACTTTGGCTTTGGCGTGTTAAACGAGTTTCGACGCGAATGGGAACGAAATTGAATCCGCACCTTCGCCGGAACGAAATCGATCGCAACATATCGGAAAAAAAAAAGAAAACAGACTTTAATGCAGCGAACGTTACTTTCGTCCCTCGTAAATTTATGAAGAGCATCGCACGTATACAGCGCTACCATCCAGTCACTTAAGTCATCTTTTGTCACTTAAGAAAAAGCACGATAGTGAATTTTTTAGTGACTTGTAACCGTCCAAAATGAGTCACCATAGTCACTTTTGTCCCTGAGCTGCCGTTAAATGATATACTTCGTATTATCTAAGTGTTTAAAATGATAACTGTTACTGTGGATAAAATTAACACAACTTGTCTGTAAATTTTAACGTCTGAAATGAAA